TGGACCACGGACTGCTTTTGTACATTTTATCTTGGGGTTTATTTCCCTTTGTCAAAATGGCCATTTTGAACAATAGGATCACATATCCAGCACATGCTGATACTTGAAAACCTTAATTTTAAAAACAATTACATCCTAAGGCATCTGTCAGGCCAGTGAAAAACCTCTACATCCACTAGGACTGACAAAATAGATGAAGATGAAATTGGTTTTGGTTATTTTCTCCATGAGATTTAGAGCCTTGTGCTTCTTGGGGTGGTTCTCTGCATCCCACTGGCTTGTTCCAATGGATTGCAGAGATCATTTTACCTTTTGTGTGGTTTTTTGGTGTCCTCATGGCAGTTTTTGACCTGTGCTGGCTGTCACAAGGCCAAAGTGCTCAACAGATGTAAAAAATGAGGAGCTGGATATGATCATTAAAAGCAATCTGCAGGTAAAGCACCAGGAACTGCTAATTGGGTAACTGCAAAAACTCCCAATGGCTCCAAAGTCTCTGAGTCTTTGAGCTCTGCTGCCCTGTACAAATAAAACAGCCTAAATTCTGCAAAAAAATGACATTAAAACTGATAAATAGGACGATGAGAACATTTATTCTTTGTGCCACCTGTGTCAGTCTTCAACACAGCACAACTTTTGTATTTTTTAGTCTGAAATGTTGATATTATCTCATAGAACAAGATCAGATTAATGGATCAGGTCCCCTCTCAGTGTCAGCCAAGCAGAGACTGCTTATTCTTTTATGTACTTCAGAAAATGGACAGAAATGTTCCATTTTCTGAAGTTGAAAACACTTCTTGAGACCAGACATGAGAAAGTATTTCTGCTTTCTGCAGTATGTGAGCACAGACCTCTCTGAAAATAAGTGACTTGCTCAGGATCACACAGAAAATCAATATTGCTGAGGAAAAAAAACCAAACCATTGAATTTCTTTCATCTCAAGTCTTATTTTGACTACTGTGCTTCCTCTCTCCTCATCACTATTACAACTAATAAGTGTTTATGTCTGATGGAGTGTGAACCATGCTTAGGTCACAGAAGCTGCTGGCTCAGTGTGCAATCCATCATGCAAAGTCATTTCCCCTGAGATAAACACCGAAATAATGGGGGAAAAAAAAAAAAGATAAAGTGAGCAAAAAAAGCCAGCCAGCTGACAAAAATGGGGCTTTGGACTGATACCTGGGAGAGGGTTACGACTGCTCTGATGCAAACACCCCAAACAACAAACAAATTATTAAAAAGTAACTAAATAAAGAAAAACGTCCTGGTTGTGCTGTGTGGCACTCATGTCAAATTCCACATGCAACCATCCCAGACCCACCCTCTGCAGTGACTCAGGCACTGCCTGGCTTTGCTCAACCAGTGGCTTCCAGAACAAAACATAACAAGGACTATTATGAATAAGATCTTTATAAAAATAAGGATTTAATTGCTCTAATTGCTTAAGCAATGAGTTGTCAAGTGCTCAGTTCAGACTGCAATACAGGAGAGCTGGAGAAATCCAATTAACAGGTAAATAGGGGCTGGGAACTTCAGTTCCTCTTCCCAAACCAGGACAGGAGCAGGAGCTCTTCATGGTGTATCCATAGGACTGGCATTTATTTGATTATTCTTTATTGAGCTTGTGGGGACATCCACTGTGAATTTCTTTGCAACAGTTCTGAACTCGGAGGAGAGGGAGGGCAGGGATCAGGTGGAAATTTGCTGGGAGAAAAAGATTCAGCCTTTGCTTCATGACAAGGCACATCCTACAGCCCAGGTAACTGAGTCCCTGGACATCTGGGAATTTGGCACATTTTCCTCACCACTTGGCCCAAAAGCTGTGGAATAAAAGCACCTTCACACTCCAGGCACAGCATCCTCTCTTCATTAAGGTTAAACCCAAGAGTGTCACAACTGAAATGGCACAGGTAACTGTTCTCTACAAACCTGGCAGTAGAAAGGACTTTGTCTTGCAGATCAGCCTCAGTTTCCCCTGAGGATCCTCAAAGAAGGATTCTCATTCCAGAGGCGAAGGCAGTGGCTGCCTCCCTGAGCCCACTGCCTGCTGTGGCAGCTGGACAGAGCCTCTCTGGGCTGAACTGCAGCCACCAGGTCACTGCACAGCTGACAGGTAAAAATAGGTGCCTGGAGATAACAAGGCATCACATCTTATTATTAATTCCCTGGGAAAGCCAACATCCCTCTCTTTCCTCTCCAAAGGATGCTTTATTATAATTACATATCACTTTATTAGGCAGCTGAAGCAAGAGCACATTTGATGCTAATGAAGTGCTGCTGTGGTTGAGGCTGTCACTATTTTTGGAGCTGCACATCTCCAGCACTTTTCATTGGGTGATGGAGGCTTTGGATGTCTCTGGCTTCTTCTGTGGGGGCTGCCCAGGAAAAAGCAGTGACTCAGCGAGCCCAGCTGCAGAACTGTTCACATGCTGGGAATGGGAAACGCTGGGGACAGCCAGAACACACACAAAGGCTCTTTATGTGCTGCAAGTTGTGCTCAGGTAGGGGCCAGCATTATCTGGATTAAAAAAATCCCTCTGTGCTGGTCACCTGCCCAGGCCTCGTTTTTCCTGTTTTCCATCCCTCACTCTGCAGCTTTTCAGAAAGGAGGCAGATTTCACAGAACTCAGGGGAAAATATTTGGGAGGTTGGAGACAGACACATCACAGCTGATCACTGGCTGCCTCTCCTTATGCAATATGAAAGTTTTGCCATCTCCATTTCCTGCAGCAAAACCTGAGGAGCTGCTCAGCCTCGGGAAGGCAGGATTTGGGTGTTCCCATTTCCCCTGCTCCCACATCCCTTGCTGTGACACTGGCATCCAGCTGGGCCAGTGACTCAGCTCAAGGATTGACAGGAGCAGATTCCTCCCTTCCTCCCCACCTTGCAGGTGTGTTACTGTCACCACCTGTCACACAGGTGACAGGAACAGGGCAATGGCAGCACGTGAGGCCACCGCTCCAGACCAGCATCTGTTGATTGCCAATTCCCATTTCCAAATCACTTCCTGACAGCACCCCGGCAGACAAAGCCTCCCCTCCCAGCAAACAAGGTCAATGGTTCCAGGTGCCTCCTGATCCACAAAGCAGGAATGTGTCAGAGCCACCAGGAATTGCAGAGAACACCCTTGGATCTCCACACCCCACTGGTTTTGGGGCTATTTTGTTACTGCAGCTTCCCCATTCCCAGAGGGAAGGGAATGACTGGAGCATTCATATGTCCTGCAGTTTTCCCTCAAGTGTGTGACTGAGTTTGGGGTTGCAGACTACAATACCACCTGCTCATACAAACTCTTCTGATTCTCCTTACTGGATGGGGATTTCCCCTTTCAGTGTTCCCACACACAAGTTTTAATTTAGGTGAATTTTCTAAGCATATTTGATTAAGGTTTTTCTTACACCTAACTTAGGAGTAGCAGGGAGATGTGCACAACCCTTCTGTATCTTTTTAGAGCTGATTTATGTCAACAGGCCATTCCCAGAACTGCAGGAAAAACTCCCTTTAATTTAAAAACCTCTAACTAATCCCATTATCCAGCAAACCACACGCAAGAGAAGATGTAACCAATCACAGACAAAACTCCAATGGCAAGGAAAATAAACACAGGGCAGAACACAGCACGGAGCAAGAGACACCTCCCAGCCAGGCCAGGAATTCTGCACGGGACACAGGCAGCTCACTGCCTCCCTCTGCTGAGCCTCACTGATACTTCACAGGCAATTCCAGGCTGCTTTGGCTTGGAAGGGACCTTAAAGCTCATCCTGTTCCAACTCCTGCCACTTTCACATCCCAGGGTGCTCCAAGCTCTGTCCAAGCTTGCCTTGGACACTTCCAGGGATCCAGAGGCAGTGACAGCTTCTCTGGGCCCCCTGTGCCAGGCCCTGGCCACCCTCACAGGGAAGGATTCCTTCCCAATATCCCATCTAAGCCTGCCTCTGGCACAATGAAGCCATTCCCTGTCACTCCAGGCCTTGTCCCAGGTGCCTTTCCAGCTCTCCTGGAGCCTCTTTACACACTGCACTGGTTTTTAAGGTCTCCCCGGAGCTTTCCCTTCTCCAGGCTGATACCCCTCAGCTCTCCCAGCCTGTTAATTATCAACAGCAGGATAATGGGAGTGCCCAGTGCTTTCACTTCCACACACTAACACACCCACGAGCACCAGACTGCAGCCCCCGGTGCAAACCAGGCACTCCACAGGTGTCCAAGTTCCTTCACTGCCTCTGGAGCACTCCAAGCCCAATTCCTATTCCCCACTGAGCATGGCTTCCACCTCAGGGAGGGTTGTATTGCTCTCTTTCCTATTTCTGTTTTCTCTTTTTTTCCTATTTTTTCCCCCGTTTTCATGGGAGCCTGGATGAATTTGATGAAATCTCTATTTCTCATCAAGTCTAACCCTGTTGGCTACCTCAGCTCAGAATTACTGGGCAGACAGATGGTGCAGTTACATAAACCTGGATTCCTGCAGAAGTCTGGCTAAGGAAGAGCTCCAGAGTGCCAGACTTGGTGAACTGTACATCCCTGGTTTGTGTAAGAACATTGATTACAGCACTAACCTTCTCCACTCACTTTCAGATACTTTAAACCTGCAAAACTGTGCAGTATTCCCAGCATTTCCACTTCAAAATCAAAGCATAGCTCCTGAAACACCTCTAAAAAGTTATTTATTTGCTGGGGCTTCAGCATAGACATATTTTATCCAGATTTTATTCTGCACTGTGTCAGCCTGGCATTAACTGCTATTCCCAAAGCAAAATCTGTTCAGGATCCCTTCCCAACTCGTTCAGAGTTAAGAAAGCTGAATTCCTGTTTATGTTAAAGAGTTAAAGAAATCCAATAACCACCACAAAAAGACAACAGCCAAAATTCCACCCTAAATTTTTCACGCTCCAAATTCTGGTCAGTACCGACATCCCCTCAGTTTCACCCCACAGCAACAAGCACTGCAAGAGCTGCTGTTACAGACTGCAATGAACACACCACAAACCCTTGCTTTTTTTTTTTGTTTGTTTTTTTCCTTTGGAGTTTAATGTGGTGCTTCCAGAATGCTCAGAACACCAATTTGTGAGGATAAACTCCATTTGAGAGAGAGAACGTGGAGCGCAGGTACCCCCGGAGCTGAGGCACCTTCTTGATCCGTGCCAGGATCTGGGAATCCACGGCCTTCTGGTCTGCCTTGCGCTGCTCCGTCAGCTCGTATTTCTGCAAAGCACAAAGAGCAGCGTTAAAACCCTGCGAGCAACTGCAGAATCCTTTAGAGAGAGAGGAGAACATTCAGGGCAAACCCTGAGTTTTCCAAACCCCGAGTTTTGGAATTTGGAAGAAATCCTTCCCCCATCTGTTCTCAAGAATGGGAAGGTGGTGGAGCACTGAAGCACTCCTTGGAGCCAATACAGTGACAGCATTTCTTGGTCAAAAAAGACATTTAACTGGAATAGTAACTCCTTCTTCTCTGAGAAAAATCCCCAAATTTAAAAGAGGGGGTTAGCTCATTTTAATGGCATCACCTCACTTTATTAATGACTACTTAAAATCCACCTTTTTTTTTTTTCCTGCTAATTCCCCCTTTCCAGCCTAGCCTGCAGCATTAAGAAAGAACCACCCTGTCCCTTACTTCTTTCTCAGTGTCAAAGATCTCTCCTTCCTGGTGCTTGGGCTTCCTCAGCCTCTTCTTCTTGAAGTAGGAATCAGTGAGATGTTTGGGAATTTTCACCCCAGTGAGATCCACCTTTGTGGATGTGGCGATAACGAATTTCTGGTGGGCCCTGCGCAGAGGGACACGGTTGACAGCCAGGGGGCCTGGAGGCAGAGAAGACAAGAGACAGCAAGGTCAGCTTTTCTGATGAAAACCACTGCCTCGAAGGTAAATTTTTGTAGTCTGTGTGATGACCAGGTCTTTCAGAGTTGCCTATAGCTAAAATCTCAAAACCTTCTAGAAATACTGAAGCTTAATTATCTCCCCTCCACCTCCCTGCAGTCATAAATGACAGAATCATTAAGGTTGGAAAAGATCTCAAAGACCATCAAATCCAACTTTTGACTGATCAGTACCTTATCAACTACTGCAGAGCACTGAGTGCCACATTCAGTTGTTCCTTCAACACCTCCAGGAGTGGTGACTCCACCACAAAATGCAATTCCTCACTGATGTTCCAAACCAAACATGTGCAGATCTGTTCTGCTACTGACCCCAGAGACAAACTTGAACTTAAAAAACCCAAAGAACCCTCCAAAAACATAAATACTGTGTTTAAATAAAATGTTTTACCTGTAACAAGCAGAAGGCCAGTATCAAGCTGCTTCAGGAACACAACACGCTGGAAAGAAATGAGATGGGACATCAATCCTCAGGTCCTGGTGCTCCCATACCACAGCCAAACTGGGATTGTGTCCCTGTTACTGGTACAAGCACTGACACTGCTCCAGGTGGGTCAGCTGTGCCATCTCAGAAGCTGCCACCTTGTGATCCAAGCTCCAGCACTTTCAGGTACCTCCTCTCCAGCAGTGTGTGACTCTCCACAAGCTTTATCTCTCAAGGCTGAGCAAAGCCAATTACTCCAGCTTTACTCTTTCCCCATCCTACAGGATGGCAACACCATCCCAGCAGCCAAATCCTTTGTACGAGTTACAGGCAGGAATTGGATGAACATCTCAAGGACCTCACAACATCCCACCATCAGAGCCACCCCCCCTTCTGGTCAAGGTTTCCTACAGCATTCTTTATGGAATTAAGGAAATCAAAGACAGAGAATTCAAGAAAATAAAGGATGCCAGATGCGTTGGTGACCATGCTGAGGATGGAGAACCCAATTTAACAATCCAGTGTTACCCTGATAATTAGATTAAGAATGAAACTCTGATTTTTCCTTTGCAGTAACTGCTGTAGTAGAAAGTTTTGTCTTTGCAGGAGCAGCAACAGAAACAAGCACTGGCTTTGCTCTGCAGCAAGACTCCCTACATTTTGTCCAAGCAACTGGCTGAGCCTGTTTCACTTCCAGCTCTGCTCACAACAACTTTAATTTAACAAACATTTCACCTCTGCTTCCCTGGACAAGGAAAACACCCAGACAGAAATCACAGATTTACACCCAGTGGCCGAGCAGTGTCAGATGAAATCAGCTGGGGAATTCAGGGTGTCTGAAACGCTGCCAAAGCCCTGCCAGGAGCCGTGCCCACCTTGCCGCGGTGCCGGCCGGTGAGCAGGATCAGCACCGTGCCGGGGGTGATGGACTCCCGCAGGCGCCGCTTGTGCTCGCAGAACGGCTTCTTGCCATGGCTCAGCAGCTTGCGGGGAACGTCCTCCGTGGGGTAGTACCTGGGCTGGGAACAGAGCACAAGCAGCTTCTACCATCTGTGTCTCACAGGACAGCAGCTCCTCAAAAAGCTTCTCCCCATTTCCCTAAAGTTCAGCTTTCTGAAGGATTTCTGCTGCAGATGGTGATTGGGAACACAGCGCAGCTCTGTATCTGTGTGTGCTTCCACCTCAGCACAGCAACACACAGAAGTGAGAATGCCCACCTAAATTCCCAAGAACACTGTGTCTGTACTCAAAGAAAATACAGCTGAGGTCCCTATATCACTCCCTTTGAGCGCATCACCCAGCTTAAAGCTCCCTGCACCAAACCACGAGCATCCCGGTGCTTTTCCATACCATTTTCCGGATTTTAACCACCCGGCTGCCTCCATTCTTGTCTCCACCCACTGGCTTAGTGATGGTGGCACGGGGCATCTCCTTCTTCTTCTTCTCTATCTGTGTGCAAAGAACAAGGAAAACTCAGCACATTTCAAACCAAAAGGCACCACGACAAACTGCGATTATTCCCTCAGTGCTTCCCACCCTACCTTTGTCTCTGGGGCCGTGTACTTGCGCTTGTACAGGGCTTTCCTGGCGTACATGGCTGAGCGGGAATACCTCCCGATGCCGCGGGCCAGGACGGGGTTACGGCTGGCATGGTACTTCTTCACCCTCTTCTTCTTGTCCCCTGCTGCTTTCTGGCTCGGCTTCTGCTCCGCCGGCTTCTTCTCCCCTCCTTTCTTCTTGGCCGGCTTCTTCTCCGCGGGCTTCGGCGCCTTCTCACCCGCCATCTGCGATCACACAGAGCAGGGTTTAGAGCTCGTTATAGAGCAGAGAAAATAAAAATAAAAGAATCCAAACCATTCTTCACACCTTTCTAGTAGCTGTCAGCCACCTTCACCAAGCCCTGCTACCTATGCGCCTCTACATGATTTAAAATGCTCCTGCACACTGGTTACAACAGCTCCAGCGCACATCCAAGCGCTCCTCGGCGAGAAGCCTAAGGAGACGCAAACACATCCCGAGCCTGCAGCCGCCTCTGTCCCGGCACCGGGAGCTGCCGGGCCCTGCCCCAGCCCAGCTCCCGGGAGGCTCCGGCGCGGCCTCCACATCCCGCCGCGGCCTTGCCCGCTCGGACCGCCGACACTCCCGCTCCTCCCCATTCCCGCGCCCATCCAGGCCCCTCGCCGCTCCCCGAGGCTGCCGGGCCGCGCCTGTGACCGCAGTGGGGCCGCCGATGAGCGGATGGCGGTGGATGGAGGGCGGCGGGCCCGGCGCCGACCACGGAGACTCCGCCATCCTCACCTTCCGGGGGAGCAAAAGGAACTCACATCCGGGTGCGCGGGCTAAGGACAGCGCGGCGTCTGACGTCAGCGCGCCGCGCGGGGGAGCACGGGACTTGTAGTCCGCGAGGGTCCGCGCTGCCCGGGGCAGCCCCGGGTCACCAGCGAGGGGGACACCAGACCCCGCGCCCACTCTGGGGGCTGCGGGACCCCCGGCCCGGAGAGCGGCCCCACAGCGCCGCCGCCGCTTAACCCGCGTCCGCTCGGGGCTCGGCCGGCTCCGTGCCCTACCCGGTACTCGGGCGAGGCTGCGGTGCCACCTCGCTCCGGTACCGGGGGTCCCGCAGCACCCCGTGCGGAGCGGCGGCGCGGGGCGGGGCGCGGCGCGGGGCGATGACGGCGCGGGCGGTGACGCGGGGCGGGCCGCGCCGCGCTCGCGGGCCCGAGGCCGCCGTTGTTCGCGCTCCCCGCAGCGCCCGAAGGCCGCGGCCCCGCCGGGACCCCCATGTGAGCGGCGGGCGGCGCGTGGGGGCCGGCGCACCGCGACCCGCCGGGGCCACGGGGGAAGATGACATCGCGGAGGTGAGGCGGGAGCGGCGGCCGCGCCGGCGGGGAGGGCGGCGGGCAGGGGCCGCGGCTTCTGCGGGGACGGGGCTGCTCCCTGCGGGCGGGCAGGACCCCCGGGAGCCGCCCCGGCAGCGCCCGCCCCGCCCGTTCCCGGGGGGATCTCCCGGGGCCCGCTCCCGTCAGTTCCCGGGGGATGTTCCCCTCCTACAGCCCCCACCCCGCCCTTCCCGGGGGGATCTCCCGGCTCCCGTTCCCAGGGGAATCTCCTGGGGCTGCAGGGATTGTTTTGGCTTCCAGTCTCTGCGAATCCCGTTGGCGGCCCCGGTGCCCCCGGTTTGGGGGGTTCAAGGGAGTGTCCCCATGGAGCGCCGGAGCCCAGGGCTGAATTGTTCGTGTGTGGAACCTGCTCGGTACCGAGGCTCAGGGATCCATCGAGGGCCAGCACCGCTGATTTACCGACCCTAAAACACGGCCCAGCTGCCAAATGAGTGTTCCTGAGCTCCCCACTCCTGCGTTCTTAATCCATTATCAGCATTCATTCTCATTTCAAACCCTTGTGGCACTGTTAAGGCACAACGACGAACAGCAGCACCCATTTCTTTGTTGTAGCTTCTCTGTCTTTAATGAATTTTGATGTTTTTCTGGTACCCGGTGTCCTTTTGGACTTAGAGGTTTGGCTGAATGTTGGGCTTCAGATGAATTATTGTCATAGAAAAGAGTATAAATGTGTTTATCTTTTTTTAACAGGATAAATGTCTGGGCTTTATGAAATCCCGGAATGGGTTGGGTTGGAAGGGACCATAAAACTCATCCTATTCCATCCCCTGCCACAGGCAGGGACACCTTCCATTATCCCAGGTTGCTCCAAGCCTCATCCAACCTTGCCTTGGACACTTCCAGGGATGGGGCAGCCACAATTTCAATTCACCTCTATAAGTAATTCCTCTTAAATTATAATTTCTCCAAGAGTAAGTTGTCCTCTTTCTTCTGCTCAAGATGGTGAATCTGGATGAGTTGGTTTCAATCCATGGCCATTTATAGTAGGATTTGGGGTTTTTTGAACTGTGTGGAGGTTTTTTTTTTTAGTCTATCTTGTGTTTTCTGGATGTCCCTGCTCACACTGGGAACAAGACTACAAGTTACCTTTTGGCAACGCTGTGAACTTCCTCCTTGCCAGGAATAATACTGTTCCTCTGCTCATAGCCCTAAATTGTAACTTGTGAGGGAGACTGAAAAAAGCTGGGAAATATCAACTGATGAGCCTATAAATAGGAGTAATTAAAGTACCCGTCAGCACATCCCCAGTGCTGTGGTTGTGACAGCTGAGACAGAACTGATTTCATCTCTCCTTTGCTCTTGCAAAGGTGATTAAAAAACCCAATCATTGCATGGAAAATTGTATTGATTTATTTCTTTTTGTTTGGTGAGAGAGAAATGTGCTGGCAGTGTGTGACTTAGGGAGCACAGATCCTGCTGGTCTTTGCTGGACCACGATAACAAAAAAGGGATGATTGTCCCTTTGGATGGGTTTTCCACCCTGAATTTTTTTTTTTTTTTTTCATCAGAAGGTTCCTTGCTTTGCTGATAACCTCTTGGTTTTTGTAAATGAGCCGCTGCTGTTTCACTGGTTACTTTCTTACCAACATTTCCACCTTGCTGTGAACTAATTATGGCCTGGGCCTGGTGTGTTCCAAGCCCTTGGGAAGGATGGTGAGGAGCCAGTTTGGCCAGAGCGTGGGTTTGGGTGACTTCTGTGATTGTATTTACTGCCCTTGGCCGGGGCAGCTCTGCACCTGCTCCCACGGAGATGGGGAGGGAAAGCAGGATAAAAAGCCCAAAATGCATTCCATCCCTATAAAAGGAAACGTGAGAGCAGGTCCTGGGGTGTCACTGGTGAGCGCTGGCCCTTGGCTGTCCCCTCCCCGTTTGGAAGGGCTGCAGCCCCAAGGTTGGGAGCACTTCAAGGAGGATCCTCGTGCCGGAACCGCTGGCAGGGATCGCTGACACCCCCATTCTGCTATTTGGGGTGGCTGACAAATGCAGCTTCCTACTCAAAGCCAAAAATACGGAGCTGAGGGAGCAGCAGGACGAGGTGCCAGCAGAGCCAGAGTTACTTAAAGTGCAAGAAACCCTCCCAGGTGCAGCTTGGCTTTGCTGCACTTGGCTTTTGGCATCTTTGCGTGGATGTGGGAGAGAGATTTTTGGGGTTTGAACCATGGATTGTGTGTTTAACCTCTCCTTTAAGTGCTGGTTAAATAACAGGTTATTTGTAGTCACCTCTGCAGATAAATTATCTTTTTTTTCATTTACTGCAGCAACTCATGTGCAGCTACTTCCTTAAGGTTGAGGGTGGGGTACAGAAGATATTCCTTTGGTTAAAGTTTATGGAATGTCAATATAATAAATCTGGATAACCAATCCCAATAATTACTCCTCTGTCTGTTTAGATATTTTTTGCTATAAACTCCAAAACTTACCAAGGTTTCTCTTGAATCCTGTGCATATTTAAAAAAACTTGCAAACTGTTCAAATTATTACTGCATTTTTAACCATTAATCCATAACTGCATTAACCCGTTTTTTGTGAGTTTTTTTCCATTTCATTTTATTCTAATGGAAGTAAAATTTTGGGAGGGGAAATGTGGTAAATATATGATCACCTTCTCCAGGCAACCTGTTGTGGGCTGAAATGTGTTATTTAATGTTCAGTTCATCCCAGGTACTGATGCTTGTGCAGTTGCTTGACCTTTGAATATAAATAGATAAATGTAACATTATTAATTAGCTCATTCCCATTTGCTGTGATAATTTGGAAATATTTTTGAATGGTTTTTTTCCGTTCATAAACAAATTTCCATTTGTGCATAAATTTGATATTTTCTGTGTTGCTCTTCGGTGAAAGATGGGGACAATTCACCAGATTTTCATGGTGCAAGTAGAATCTTATTAATTAGGGGGAAAAAAAGATTCACAAGAAGATTCACACAATTTATTTCTGAAATGGATCCTAATTCCCATTTGAATGACTTGCTAGAGATTTGGATTTTCTAGAATCCTAAAACTCCAGAACATTTCTGTAGAGAATGCTTTGATGGGAATAGAGAAGGCTTTGATGGGAATATTGACAGCTTTTCAGTAGAGAAGGAATTGCTGCAACAATTGAAATTATAACCCTAAATTTAGACCTGTGCTCTCATATTTTGCTGATTTAGCAATTTAGCCTGAAATGCTGACTGGATCAGGAAGGATCAGGAATGCTGTTCAATTTTTCTGGATATAACACTCCTCTCTCTCTGTGATGAGCCTGACTGTGGAGTTTTTTTGAATATATTTTGCTGTACTTTGGAAGAACCCAGAGGTGAACAAAGAGGAGCAGGCTGAGTTCTTTGAGCACACAAGAATGAGGATTTGACTCTGAAAATCAAAGGTGATTTTTAATTACCGAGTGCAAAGGTGACAGAACTGATCTTGGAGGTGCTCACACCCCTGCTCTGATGCTTTATTTTTAGAATTTGCCTTCTAAAATCCTCACCAAGTCCTCCCATGCAGAACTCTTTCAGGGCTGCAATAAAAATGGGTAAATTCCAGATAAGAGCAGAGGCAGTGGTGACACCGAGTGGCTCCAAATAAGTCTCCAAAGTCAATGCCAGAGGTGGGGACACAGAGCTGTTGGCCACAGCCCAGCCCCAGCTCTGCTGAGCTCTGGGATAGTCATTGAGGGCACTTTGTGGGTGGTGAGGATCAATGGGAGATTCCTCTGTGGTTGTATTTAAGTGGGACAGATCCGACCCCAGCTCCACATTCCTGGGAGGAAGAGCAGTGGGGTGTCCATGCAGGGAGTTCCTTCCTGACCCCCTCAGCTGTGCCCTAAACCATGAGGTTTTGTTCAATTTTTAACCTTCACAATGTTGTCAAGTGTCACTTTGGATGTTTTGTTTTATTTTTAGGTATTTTTCCTGTTTGTCTTTCAGTTTCTTTGTGTGCTGTGCTTTGCTGCAGTAAGGAAATACCACTTCTGGTCTGTGTTTATGTTGTGTACCTTTGATATCATTTTAATCCAGGCAGTCAGAGTAGAGATAAGTGTAATTCTTGGGCTTACCAAAAAAATGCAATATATGAAGTTGCAATGTAAAACTAATAATGAGCAGAAATTTTATTAATTTAAGTGCAAAACTCAGTTTGGAAGCTGTCGGATTGCTCTGTGTGAGTTAACTCTGAAATCCTGCTGTTTATTTATTAACATTCTTTATTTTTAACCTCTTCTAGATGGTTTCATCCAAATATCACTGGGGTGGAGGCAGAAAACCTGCTGTTAACAAGAGGAGTCGATGGCAGCTTCCTGGCACGGCCCAGCAAAAGTAACCCAGGAGATTTCACACTCTCTGTTAGGTGAGTTTGGATCTTTCCAGTCTTGCCCCAGCTTGGTAATGATCTTAATTTGCTGCTGTCCCGTGGGGAAAGAGCTGTGGATGAACTTGAAAAAAGGTGAAAGAATGCTCAGATCACTTTTT